AGTAAGATGCAGCCACTGTCTTTAAGGAGCCAGACATCCTCCAGAAGAGACCGGAGGAGGGCACACCACTGACCACGTGAGGAGGAGAGCAGGGAGGGCCGTGGGAGGCACAAGGCAGTGCGTGGCTCCAGAGAGCCCCAGTGTTACTTCTGGACAGAATGCACCTCCAGGGATGTTGATGGCACCAAGCTACCCTGGAAGGATAAGACAACTTTGGGCATGATAACAAATGGTGGCCAAACTCACAGGACATGTGGCCATCAGCAAACACACCCCTCAATCTGGCTGCCAGAGAGTAGGAGGGGTAGAAAAAAATGGAGACAATCAAGAGGTGGGGCCACAGCATGGAGCAGACAGGGGTGTGTGTTTACGCTGCCGGAGAAGGATTGCTGGAGTTTTGGGGGCAAGGGGATGAGATAATGAGCGTGTATCCCAGGGAGACTAATCCGACAGAAGGCATGTGTAGGGGTGGATTGGGGACGAGACAGAATGGAAGCAGGAAAGCCAGTGAGAGTGCCGCTCCACCAGTTTAGAAGAGAAGAGGTGAAAACCTGAACTATGTCAGGCTGGGGAGGAAGAATCCCCCGCATTCAGTAAATATTAAGGAAAACAGAAATCCTCCAGTGGCCTGGATTTAGAAAGAAGTAAAACATATCTCTGCTTCTTAATTCAATTGCCATCTGAAAAGGAGCTATCTGCTTTTGTCTTTTAATCTGTAATCAACCTAGAAAGAAAGACTACTACATTTCAGTCTACTCTAACATCTCAAAGCAATTTCTACAAACATCCCCATTTCTGAACTGAAAAATGAAGGCACAGGAAAAGGCCTCCATGTTACTCATTCTCTGTTTGTGGGATCATTTATACCACTCATTCAAATGGTCAAACAACACGCACACACTCATAACCCACTTTAGTGATTTTTATGTTATTATTTTTACAAGCAAGCACAACTTGAGTACAGCCAGAGGGGACACAAGGCGTAACTGGTACACTCCTTAAGCCTTACAACAGGGTTTGATGTGGCCCCCCAAAGCTAGGCCCAAAGAAATGAGCAGCAAAGACTGAACCCCAAAGGCAGCAGAGAAGAGTGTGAAGAGCGCCTGCAGAGGCGGACAGGCCTGCCCCCTAGGGTGCTACTGCTTCCTGGACAGGGAACCCACCCTCTGTGTACTACCATACACTCAGTGCCCTCTGCCCAGGGGAGGTTGCCAGGCTCCACAGAAAGGGCCTTGTAACCCAGTTGCTTCTGTCCGGAAATCAGAGTCAGCAAGTTTTCTCTCCTGTGCCTATTTCTGCTGCCCATAAGGACAAATTTACCAAAACACAAGAACACCGAAAACCTTTGCAACTATATGAGTGCTAATCAGCTCACAGAATGACAGGAAGTGGGAAATACTGATGCTAAAGAGCTTAATCCAGAATGGCACAGAAAAGCAGAAGGCACAGAATCCCAGACCTGAAGGAGCCATGTGACCCCGAAGGCAGCAGGTCAGCACAGGTCAAACAATGGCCCGGAAACCACAGAGTAACATTTTTGAAGAATTCTGTATACTATGTATCACTGCTTCCCACTTCCACATTTCTAGTTGCATCTAATCTATTATCAAGGTACAAGCAATGGTTTGTTAAAAAGAATACTAACTTATCTATATAGCATCTTTCTTTTAAGGGGCTTAAGGTGTCCCACATATTATCACAATTACTTTATTAATATTCTTGGGAAAAAGTATGTTGGCATAATTGTCCTTACTCTTTGCACCTGCTGGGAAAATGGTACGCTAATAACAGAACAGCTGACATTTACTGGGCACTTACTGCGTGCCAGGCACTGTTATAAGCACTTTACATTTAATCCTCACAAAATCCCCATGGGGTAGAGACTATTATTATGCCCATTACAGATGAGAACACTGAAACACATAAATATGTGACTTTCAAAGTCGCCACACAGGTAAGTGACAGAGCCAGCTTCAGACACAGGCCATTGGACTCCATGGCACATGCTGGGACCACGCACCAGAAGGGCTCCCCCATCAGCGGCTGCCCTGGGCCCGGCAGCCAGCTCCTAGCTCTACACTGCCCTCTCTGAGTCTCCATCCCATGAGTTTAGTCAAACTCAAGCCCTTCACTTAAACAAAATCCAAGAAAACCCATGCATGCCTATAGTTGTAAAGGTAGATCCAAGTGACTCTATTAATGCCTAAATTGACTTAAAATGCATTTTATTCTACCAAGTCTACCATTATTTAAAGAACTGTTTTTCAAACTTTCTAGACCATGATTAACAAAAAGCCATACGCTTTACACCATGACCACCGCCACCACCCCTCCTCCCCAACCAAACACACACACACAACTGGTAGAAACGTTTCACAAAACCATACTTGTCCACATTATATGTTAGGCTCAATATTTTCTCTTCCATTCCATTTAAAAATGCCAGTTGCAACCTAGTAAATTGATTTCATGACTCAGTAACAGGTTGGGACTCACAGTTTAAAGAAAACTCTCATCTAAAATTTATATGATCTCTGAATATCCCATTTGAGTAAAAAATCATCAAACAATAAAGGAAACCGATGGAAGAGGAACTCTGGCATTGAACATATCACCCCAGCAATTAAACTCTATTATTCTATAGCCCTATCAGGCTCTGTTCATATGTACACAATTTTTGTTCCTGCCTTTAAAAAAAATTACCATCGTGTCAGAAGCCATCACCACATTTCTTATCATGAAAAATGTATCACTCACCTAGTTAGAATGCAGTCTGAAAAACTGGTAAAATTTCTAGTGTTTGAAAATAAAGCAAAAATGAAATAAGAAAAATGCTTTGGCTGGAATAGAAAATGCTATTTAAATACTTTTCAAGTCTTACTGGACTATGTAATACAGAAACAATCAAGTTAATGGTTTGGGGTTGACTCTGCGTGGCTAAACTGCTCAAGTTCAATTCAAAGTTTAAATCCCAACTTGAACATACTGAGTGGTGAAAATACTAATGGGGAAGGAGGCAAGAGAGAGCCAAAGGGGTGGTCTGAGAGAAAAAACCCCACTCATATGCTATTCACCCCACGGCTGGATTTGGAACCCAGCAGTCCTGGCCTCCAGACACCATTTCATGGATACACCGGCAAGTTTACTTCAGCCTTTAAATGCCAATAAAGATCACTGAGATAATCTGCAGCTAGTTTAACAGTTCCAGTAATATTAACAAAGTGACCTATTCCAAGCAGGGCCCTCCACAGTGTTCAGTGCAATCAGTCTTGGACTGTGCCCCCAGGAAACCCGCTCTTGGCACACTCTCACCTTCCCCACGGGGGCCATTTGCAAACTTTTCTTCCTCTCCTGTCTCAGAGGAATAATTGCCCGTCCTCCTTTCCAAAAGTGCCCTGCAAACGGGGCTTAACCCCATCCCCCTCTGCCTTCCCCCAGGTGCCACTTAGGAAGGGATTCCTTCTCTCTCTCTTGACTTGGAAAGAGGCAAGACTCCTTGCCCTTCCCACAAATACGTCTGTTCCCCTTCCCCAGGCTCTCAGCAGAACACTTCTTCCCTCCACCTCGCTGCTACCACTACGGTTCGGTTTTGGAACCCCACCTGTCCTCTTTCTTTAAATGCCTACCAACTGGCTTCTGTCCCCTCCAGACAGATCATTTGCCTGGATTCCAAGAAGCTCAACAAATGTACGCCAGACACCACACTAGGCACTGGGGAGGTAAAGATACGGAAAGAAGGTCCCAACCTCAAGCAGTTCCCGCTTGGAACTACTAAATCTAAAGGACTCTTGCTGATTCTCCTGTCCTCGACCCTAGGCAGCCCCACAGGGCCCATTTTAAACCTCCCTGGCCCTGGGCCTGCGGGAGCACACCCACGGGCCTTCTCCCAGCACTTCTCTTCTCCCTGCTGTGGCCACCAGCTCCTTCCCCCATCACTGCTCCCTGCAAGCTGGCCTCTGCCACGGTCCTCCTGGTTTTGGACTTCTCCATTACACACCAGGGTTAGTTCACCTGGACCCACAGATGAACTTCACAGGGGCTCGGAGTCCCATAAAATCGTATGTAAAGTTTTGTACACAAGTATATTTTCGGGGATGAGAAACTTGTTTGCCTCCTATTGTTAAAGGAACATATGACTCCAAACAGATTAAAACTACGACGCCAAATCTACACCTCAAGCCTCTTTTCCAAGGGGCATGCTGCAAGCTCTGTCAGAAGATGCTAACTACCAGTATGATGATCTTGTATGTTCAAAAATTTGTGCTATAAGTTTTCATTACATTAATTTCAGGACATCAGACCTGAACCCTAAAACCAAGTTGACATCTCAAGTAAAAGTCTGTTAGCACAAGTCAAACAATTCCCCAGAGGATACCATTTCTGCAGAAGATGCAGTTTGTCTTAAATATATGCTGGTAATTCAAAGAAACTGTAACACATCCACTTAGTCCTTTCCAAAGTAACTAATTTCATACAAAAGTGAAGAGCAGAACATTTTGTGCAATGGTGGAAAATAGAGCACATGAGCAGAATTCATGTGATCTACTCACAGTTTTCATGAAGACTCAACAAATAAATAATTTTTATTGAAAAAAAAGATGCTGACTACCCAGCGCACAGAGCTCATTATCCCCCCTCCTTGCCTTCTTCCGCCTCTTTTCCCAAACACAATCCTTTTCTGACTTCCCTACTCTGTCAGCTGCACCCCGCCCTCCTCTTCACTCAAGCCCCAACCCCAGAAGGAAGGATGAGCCCTCCTTCCGGGCATCCGCTCATCACCCTGCTGCTGGGGCATGTGGTCTCCCCGGCACCCTCACTCGGGCACTGCAGACCTCTGGCTTCAGAAGCTCTCTGGCCCTGTCTGCCCTTCACAATGTTGTAGGCAGTCCTGTCACTTATTTCGAGCCTTCAGTAGGTTTCCACTACTTCCCAAAGTAGAAGCTCCTTACCCTCGCAAGGCTCTCCGCTGGTGACTGCAGACCTCCTCCCCTTTCCTGGCTCCTGCCACACCTCACTGGCTCCCCTCAGCACCTGGCAGTGCTTCCGGCTTTCCCTCTGCTGTGTCAAGGCTCAGGTTCTTGCCTCTGCCCCAGATTCCTCTTCCTTCACCATCCTCACGCACTGGAAATGAAAGCCACCCTTCAAGGCCCAACCCAAACGACTACCGATCCCTTGCAGGCTTTTCCATCTAGGTGTGATGTATTCTCTCGTTCCAGTGGACCTCCTCTGCACCTCTCTTACAGCACTGAACATAAACGATCCTTTGTCAGGACCGTACATATTCGTCTTATCACTTCTGTCACATCCCCAAATGGGACTAGGTAGCATTCATCCTGTTCTACTCCCTATCTGCCCTGCTCACCCCTCCCCAGTACCACCCACACAGTACTCTGAGATGAACTTGATGTATGAAACAGTTATGCATGTTGAGTTGAATAGCAGGGACTGATATTCCAAAAGCTATGTCAACAGCTGATCTGTTTTCATCTGTATCTTGTATTGTTTGGTGACTACTTTAGCTTTTTTTTTTTTAAGATGACTTTTAGTGGTTAAAACTTAGAGACTGTCACTTTCCAAAACTTTGAGCAATTCGGCTCACATTTGTTTCTCTCCAGTTTGTCATGTTACTGACTTCCTAAAAGAAGCAGTAGGCATTCCTAGTACGGATACGAAAAATAAGGCAAAGTACCACCAGCTTGAGGGATCAACCCCCCTCTGCAGACCACCCCAAGACATCAACCCGGAACCCCGGGTGCTGGGACCAATTGACAACATCCAAAAATCCATCCCACTTATTTCCATATAATAGATTTTCCCTTCACTTTCTCCTAGACCCATATTCAATGAAAAAGCTGTCATTATACAATTTCCATGCAGAAGTCATTATGCTGATGTTAGGGAAATGAATAAAGGCTGATCCCCACCTTGATAAGCTCACAGCACAGCAGGGGACAGGCAATTCCTCCATAATTATTACATAAGGCAGATGGAGCTAAGTGCTCTAATACAAGGACCTGTGAAGTCTCGCAAGTAAGAGGCAAGATGAGCTCCCATCAGGGACATGTACACAGCATGGAGGAGGCCCAGCTCTGGGCAAGGTGGTGGAGGACAGGCTTTAAAGAGATGAGGGACTGCGAGTAAAGGGGGCAGGAAAACCAGAGTCCAAGCTCAGCAAGTACTATGCATGGCAGGGGCATACGCGGTCCTGTGCAAGAACGGTGCGTGCGTGTGTGTGTGTGTGTGGAGTGGGGCACAGCACAGAGTGACACGATCATCCTAAAATTAAAAACCTGGCAGCACTGTGCAGGGTAAGCTGACAGGGGAGGAAACAGAAAGAACGGAAGCCGGTTGGGAAGCACAGCTTATACTAGGGAGCACAGGCAGAAATGGGAAGAAATACTGAGTAACTAATGGGTAGAAACTACAGGATTTGGAGCTGATGTGGCTATGGGAGGAAAGGCAAAGCGAGGATAGGAACGTCGACTTCAAGCTCTCAAACCTGAGCAACTGAGGATCATCCAAATGGAGGTACATGTAGGCTGCAGAGTAGGTCTGGTGAACTGCAGAGAGGTTAGAGAGACGGTGAGCCAGCAATGCTCGCGGACTTCCAGAGGAAGGCGTTTGAGAGTCAGGCTTGCTAGATTCACTCAAGGCCAACAGCAAGGCTAGATTTAGAAACTGCTCCCATAGCAGTGACAGCTTAAGCTATGGGACTAGAAAGAAGCATCTAGACAAAGCAAGAAACACAAGGAGAGGGCTGAGAGGGCACCCCTGGCATGGTGTTTATACTGAAGGAAAAGACAGAGGTCGTGGAGACTGGGAAGGGACCATCAAGACAGCAGAGTAACAGGGAAACTAAGACTTGAGAGAAGAGGGTGGTTGAAATTGTTAAATGCTGGGGCAGGGAGATCAACCAGAATGAAGGTTGAAGTGAGCCACCGGATTTGGCCAATAAGAGGGCCTGAGTTCCAAGAAGGTACTTGCACTAAAGCTGGATACTGGGATAGACTGGAGGAATGAACTGGAGATGAGGATAGACTAGGATATTCTTTCCAGAAGTTTGGATTAAAGTGAGAGATGAGATAGTACATGAGGGGAAAACTAGTCTATCACTTGACTTTTTTGGGGTTTGGGTGAGTAAGCACTAAAAGAGATATAAGGTGCCAGAGAAAGGGGACAGCTGATGGAGAAAGATCTTATAGGCAATAGACTGGTACCTCAGCTCCTTAAAACCTGCTATGTGAACCATTTTTCAAATTTCTGATCATTTAGGGCCTAATATGCAAAACCCAAGGCAGGACACATTCCCTCACTGAATTTTCATGGATTAGACTTACATTCTCACTTTCATAACAAGCCCAAAGATGTATCTCCATAAAACACCTTTTGTCCTAATTGTTAAAAAATAATATTGAAATGTTTGAAGCAATATTGAAATGTTTGACAAAAAGCAAATAATCCAATTAAAAAATGGGCAGAGGAGCTGAATAGACAGTTCTCTAAAGAAGAAATTCAGATGGCCAACAGACACATGAAAAGATGTTCCACATCGCTTGTCATCAGGGAAATGCAAATTAAAACCACAATGAGATATCACCTCACACCAGTAAGGATCGCCATCATCGAAAAGACAAACAACAACAAATGTTGGTGAGGTTGTGGAGAAAGGGGAACCCTCCTACACTGCTGGTGGGAATGTAAATTAGTTCAACCATTGTGGAAAGCAGTATGGAGGTTCCTCAAAAAGCTCAAAATAGAAATACCATTTGATCCAGGAATTCCACTTCTAGGAATTTACCCTAAGAATGCAGCACTCCAGTTTGAAAAAGACAGATGCACCCCTATGTTTATCACTGCACTATTTACAATAGCCAAGATATGGAAGCAACCTAAATGTCCATCAATAGATGAATGGATAAAGAAGATGTGGTACATATACACAATGGAATATTACTCAGCCATAAGAGAAAAATAGATCCTACAATTTGCAACAACATGGATGGAGCTAGAGGGTATTATGCTCAGTGAAATAAGCCAGGCAGAGAAAGACAAGTACCAAATGATTTCACTCATCTGTGGAGTATAAGAACAAAGGAAAACTGAAGGAACAAAACAGCAGCAGAAACACAGAACCCAAGAATGGAGTAACAGTTACCAAAGGGAAAGGGACTGGGGAGGATGGGTGGGAAGGAGGGATAAGGGTGGGGAAAAAGAAAGGGGGCATTATAATTAGCATGTATAGTGGGGGGGGCACAGGGAGGGCTGTGCAACACAGAGAAGACAAGTAGTGATTTTGTAGCATCTTACTACGCTGATGGACAGTGACTGTGAAGGGGTATGTTGGGGGGATTTGGTGAAGCGGGGAGCCTAGTAAACATAATGTTCTTCATGTAATTGTAGATTAATAATACCAAAAATATATATATATATATTGAAATGTTTGAAATAATCAAAGATAAGGCTGAAAATGTATTAACTCTGTATCATTACATTTAAGTATTACATTTGAATCTATAACCAGCACATGACCCACAATGAGAACTTCATATCCTTCCAGACCTCCAGTCTTTGTGTAGTTGTCCTTTCCATCAACCATGAATGCCCTCTGCCTGAAGTAACTGTGGATGAAATCTGGGAGGAAAAAAGCCTCACTGCGCTAGAAAAAGTTCCAAGCCTTTTATTGTAAAAGAAACAAAAAGACGGCCCTGGGCAGAAGAGCTCTTCTATTTAATGACCCCTTCATTGCACTCAATCCAGCAGGCAGCATATTTACCCTATGCTTAAAATAAAGGTGCTTATTAGGTACAGTTTAAAGAATTCTTTCCTTACTCGCCCCTGACCAGGCATTTGTTTGGAGTCAAGCAGAACGGAAAGACAGGGGTAGGAAGACACAGGTAAGGCACGGCAGAAAAAGGGAGGCAAGACCAGGAGAGAATGTAAGGAAGATGGTTTTAAGAGCACGATGCATGGAAAGCTTTATTTCAGCCACATGCTACTCCTCAAACAGTTGGGTGCACAGGAGGGAAACACTGTCGGTATACAGATCTCGAATCTTGTTATAGACTGTCATGGATTATAAGTAATTAAATGAGTAATAACTCTGTGCTGCCAAATACATACTAAGTGCTATGATATGACACTTAATATGCTACTCTTTAAAAAAAATAATAAACCTGCCCTTTCAAAGACTGCCAGCAGTAACAGCACAGCATATCTGAATTCTAGAAGCACGTTTGCTCAACTGGCACCCAGGCTCTGAGGCCTAATTGCCGTACCGCTCCTTAGCTCCCAAGCAGAGTACAGCAAACTCTGGTATGGGACTTGGTGGTGGTGCCAAGCGGGCGTGGCAGGGGACAGGCCGACCCAAGGAAGGGTCCGTGGCCTTTGATAAACACCCTCGCATACACGTCACACTGGGAGGCGTGGCGGAGAATGCCAATGAAGGAGACACCCAAGAACCTTCCGAGGCTGAGCAAACCCTGGGATTTACCAGACTGTGGGCCAGGGGAAAGGCGTATCTTGTGAGGATCTCAAACATGTCTCTTCTGCTGTGGCCTTCCTGTTTCAGTGCGAACCTCAGGTTTCTCATGTCCTGGGGGCAGAGGAGAAATTTGACAGTTCAGTCTTCAAATAAAGTCATATTCCTTAGCAAAACATCTTCCATTCAACTAAGCGAGTAGAAGATTCACTTATCTGAAAGGGAAATTAGTCTGGATTACTAAGAAAATTATTTTGTCTCGCATGAGATTTTGACGTAACTGCGTTAAGAACACTGGAAATGTCCCCACAGTGTAAAGACAAAGCAACCAGTGATGAAGAGAAGACAGAGCTAAACTTCATTTTACAAAAACCAAAACCAAACCTTGCCCTGCGTATCATCTACTGTGTCTACTTTAACTTCTTTCCAAAGTATTTTAATTATGCAACAGTACTTCATTCGTAGCACTTCTCCAGTGTATGTCTCCTAGCAAGTATAATCGTCAAACATGTCATTAAAATACAGCAGCTCTCTCCCTCTCCCCTCATGCTCTTTCAGGTCTCATTTTTAAAAATTAGGAACTGGTTGGCATTTTCAGTTCTCATACAAGAAATACACTTTTACTATACAAGTTTACTTTCAAGAGTTCTCTATAAACTACATTAAAGTACCTCATAAAAGGAGAGACTCAGCTTCCAAGAACTAAAAAGTAATGCTTAAAACCAGACTTTACAGGTAGCTTCCAATACATATCTATTCAATCAGCAAGACCTTTTAAACTGAATCCGAACAATGTAAGCCTCCCTATCTTATTTTCAAAGCTGGAGTTGTTCCAGGCTGTCTCTTAAATCAATCATGGTCTATGACCACGTGATAGCTGAGCACTAAAAGCGTTCCCTTCTGCACTGTACTGTGCTGGACCCGGGGATACTGCAGGAGTGGAAGAGATTCAGTCCCTGCCTGCTTGGATGTCGTGATCTTCCTATTTTCCAAATGCTTTTTCATTTATTACCTCAAGAGAACGCTTAAAGCTTCTTAAGCCTTCGGTGTGAAGGACCAACAAAGGTCTTGTGACATATAAGACAGCCCCAGATGCAAATGGCAGCAAAGGCAGTAAAAAGAATCAGTCTAAGCCCTCCGATGAGCGACCCCAGATTGATCACTCTGTATGCAGATGGCATCTGAGGAGCCTTGCCAGCTTCAGGATCCTGTGCTTTTGTTTTTAAAAGCACGTAATTGAATAAAACCCAAAAACGAATTCATAACACATTCCAAGAAAATTAGGATATTAGTTGTTGGCTCGTGATGAAAAGCATTAGCCAAGCAGAAGGAAAAAAACTATTTCAATAAGACGCTATGCTTTTAAAGGGTTTGCAACGCACTGCAAGCACTGCATGGGAGGCTGAGGGTGGCTGGGGCTCACAGCCCTGTGAGGCACTTTCTTCCTAACAGCCTTGGGTCAGATGATAACTCTAACATCATTCTCTTAAGCACTTGGCCAGAAATTAGATGATTCCAAGGTAAATATTTATTCTCATCTACCAGTGATTCAAACAACTACTTTCAATGTGGCAGAGCACAAGTGATTCAAGCAACTTGTTTTGCCATCTGATTCAGATGTAATTAAAGGACAGAAAGAATTACTACCTCATCTTGCCAACAAGAAAATTGAAGTGGAAAAGGCAAATGACACAGGTGGCTGAGGACCAAATCTGTAACAGAAATATGAGCATATACAAACTGTAAGTTCCACCTGGTCCCCTGAGAGCCTGGCTCATCAGGGAAGGACACCTGAGAAAAAGCCTTATGGCATAAACGTCTTGCAGCCAGACCCCTGGCCTATCTAACAGCTGGGTCATAGGGCGGTGCGCCAAGCCTCGCTGTAATACAGGAGTCCAAGGAAACACCCCCTTCCCCGGTTGCAACAACACTAACGGGATGATTTATTGAGGCATCATGTCTGTAAAGCAATTGTAAAGACACATCACCCATGACTGCAGACTTCAAAACACCGAATAACCAGGGCTGAGGCGTGGAAGAAGCGAGAGCGCGCTAACAGTGCCGCGGTCTGGCTTTGCTTTCTGTTGTTGTTAAGAAGGCTCAAGTAGCCAGCAAGCACTGGTATGGGGCCTGGGGGGTAAGAATTCTTGTGTTCGGAGATACCTCTCCTTTGTTGCTGGACAATATCCACTGGGACTTACATCTACCATGTGGAAGTCACTACTGGCAAACAGAAATGCCCATGCGCAGAGCTGGGAGAAGCAAATTTGTAGGGGTTCTAACTGCTTGCACAGGGGAGAAACGCAGTGTGTCTGCAGAGGAAAGCCAACCTATGAGAGGCAGGAGAGTGAGTCTGTCCTGCTGTGGCATATTCCCTCTTTATCAACTTCAGGTCCGTTACTGAGAAAATGGAATTCAACTCTGTGACACTGGTGTTTCCAGGGAGATTACTGCATTAACAGTTTGCACTACGACACTGCTCCCAGCCCTACCGTTTGGGCTCAAAGCTAATTCCAAGAAATATACATATGTAACGTGGAGAATTATGCCTGCGGGTTGTTTCTAAACCCTTTGTTCTTAGTAAAAGGGTCAGAATGTGCTTTGTCTTATTAATTTTGGGGGGGATTAATATTTAAATACAATCAGCTCCTATTGATAAGGCAACAAAAAGGATTAAAAAAAAACTAAACTATTGGAATGAACGCCACTTCAAAACCATCAAAATAGCAACCCCATTTTCCCTTGAGTACTATAACACTCCACTCCCATGGATCCTTTCAGGCAAAATGCAAAAACCTTCCTTAGAAGTAAGTCCCCATATTCTAGGCCCCAAAGGGTAGACAGCAGCTGGGATCATAGCTAAGGCATTAACAGAGCTTGGATTAAAACAAAAACAAAAACCAAGGTGGGGAGTGATGGGGAATTTCAGTGCAGGTGTAATAATGGCATAATCCTTGCTCAATGAAATAAATCAGACACAGAAAGACAAATGCCATCTGATTTTACTTATATGTGGAATTTTAAAAAATAAACAAACAAAACAGAAATAGACTCATAAATACAGAGAACAGACAGGTGGTTGCTAGAAGGGAGCGGGTGGGAAGATAGGCAGATAGGTGAAGGGGATCAAGAGGTACAGACTTCCAATTATAAAATAAGTCAGTCACAGGGATGAAAAGTACAGCATAGGGAATATGTCAATAAGACTGTAATGACTTTGGAAAAAAATAATGACATAATCGTTTGATTTCTGATAGTATGTACTAGCCTTGATCTTTTATAAACTAGAGACAAAAAAACTGAACTGTATTCATGGTTCAAACAGAAGTATAGGAGACCGGTTTTAAGAAATCACAGTGCATGAGACTAGGAAAAGGAGACTTGGGCTTTAATTCTGGCTCCTCCACTAGCTCCTTGGGCAACCCTAGGGAAGCAATCCTGTTGGTAAGGGCCTGATCTTCCCATCCATAGAATACAGGACTGAACTGGCCAGGGATCAACAAACTTCAGCCCAAGTCAGTGTTTGTATGATCTTCAAGCTAAGAACACCTTATATTTTAAAAGGACTGAAAAAACAAACACACAGAAGAGTGTATGGCAGAGATCCTACTGGCCCACGAAGCCTAAAATATTTGCTGTCTGGCCCTATACAGAAAAAGTTTGCTGACCCCTGCACTAGTGTGATGGGTCAGAGTCATTGGACACATGGAAGAATTCCAGCGTTCTGGACCCACCCTTCAGAGATTACCTCACAGTAGGATTTGAGACAGAACCCAGAGATCCACATTTTTAAACAGGTTACCCTGGTACCCATCTGGCTGTGTGAACCACTGAACAGACGACCTCCAAACCCCTTCTAGTTCTTTCCAGGATTGGGCAAGATGTTACAGACTGTAGTCTTCTGATCCTCAATACCTGGACAGCAGGTTTTCTTGCCAGATGCGTTTGTTCTTTGCAAAATAATTATCTCACTGTATTTGGATCCAAATTCTGTCATTTTTGGGTCATCTCAGCTACGTTACCTAACTCTTCTTATCCTCAGGCTCCCCATCCATAAAATGGGGACACCACTGTGCATCTCAGAGGGTTTCCCTCAAAGCACCTAGCACATGTTTGAACCACCATAGATGCTCAACAGTTACTACTATGAATGACTAAATGTTACTATGATGAAATCTCCACCATTCACCATGCCAAACAAAATGTTAGGTCACTACACTACCTCTGCAAACTATCAAGGCAAAAGTTAGAAAGGTTGTTGGAGGTAAAAACCTCTCCCGTTCAGAGGGCAAAATCTCTGATGTTTTCCCTTTCTTTCATTTTCATGGTGTGAAGGTGTCTGGCTGTTAACATATCACATGAAGGAGGAGCAGGAGCAGACTTGGGTAAAAAACTATCAAGTGTGAAATTTTATTTATAAACTTGTCGTCCTACTCAGTCAAACAAACCAAATGGCAAGTTCGAGTCCTCACACTTGGTGACAACAGTGGGCCCCTTTCATAGGAACTTCTTCCCCAGGAGGTTTTGAAAAGCTTGATCAGGAGCAAAGAACCATTATCTGGCCTTAGATGAACAAGGGTCTTTAGGTGTTTTTGTAACCCCACATGAATTTTTTACTTATCATTCAACACTAACGTGCCTTTTTTTGCATAAGAAAGTACTGAATCTCTTACTTTACAAGTAATATCTAGACCATAGGAATTTTCTCCTCTACTTGTCGCGCCTCCCATTTTTTCAATTCTTGAGATCACACCCAGAGGAACATCAAGTATTAGAGCAGAATCCTGCAAGGGACAAAAATACAAAAGTCAGTATTTCTGTCTGCATAATTAAAACATCAACAACATATAAAAAACAACCATATGCTTCAGAGCATTTTTACCTTGGTCCTTTTACCACTTCTTATGAACAAAAATAAGATCCAGATCACACACCAAAGAGCAAGCATTAAAATAGTCAGTTATGCAACCAGAATGCACCCCCAAGCATGTGCCATTCTGCACTACCTCCAGAATAAAGACTAACCTCCTAAGTACATAATTCAAGGGCTCCGTGATATCGCTTGCAGCCTGTCTCTACAGGCTTCTCTCCCACAACATTCTGTGCTCTAATAAGTAAATGCCTTCGCAGCTCTTCAGACATGTTGCCTATAATCAGGCCTATATGCTTTCTGCATGGTGCTCCCTGTGCCTAGGATGACCTATCTTTGCCAAGAGCCAAAATTCTCCCTGTGGTGTAAGGCCTGGCTTGACAAGCCTCACCTCTAAGAGAGCCCTGCTTCCCAATTAGATCAGACAGAATGGCCACTCCCTCCTCTGAAGTTCTGTGACATTTGATCCAGACTGCTGTTACACCACTTGTTTCACTCTAGCCTGTTGCCAAGAGTTACACGTCTGTTCCCCCCACTAGAAACCAAACACCTGGAAGTCCTGCAAAGGAGAAGGGCCTGAATGCACAGCAATGTTTCTCCATCATTCCTTATCCAGTGCTGCGGACAAGGGGTCCGTAAAACGGGCTGGCAAGACAGAATCACATTAGTGAAGACGTTCCATGATTGTCATGACAACAGCAGCTGTCAGGCATGGAATACCACATCTGTGCCAGGTACTGCACCAGGGACTTGGCATCCATCATCTCCTTTTATCCTCACAACCATTTTGGATGTAGGTGAAGCAGTCCCATTTCCTGATGTGGCAACCCAGGCTTTAAAAAGCTTGTAACTTGCTTAGCAAATATGGGGAAGGGTTGAGATTCAAGCCAAGGTCTGGGAAAACCCATCAGAAAAGAGCCATGGACCCACCCTTTGAGTCCAGCACCCACTCCTAAGGACTTATCTTACAGCCACTGCACAACAGGGTGAAGAGCTATGCACATGAAGACACTTAATGGAGCCAGAGGTGGATGGCAGGGTGCGGAAAATTACAGTCAGTCAGCCTAATGGAGTGAGCATGCAGCTACTAAAATAATTCTGGTGCATGGAAAAATAAGTTACAGTGGGAAAAAACAGCATAGGAAACACACTGTGAGTACAGTAACATGAAAGAGGTATTCATATGGACAAAGACAGGGAGGGCCATGCAGAGTTTAGCCTAATGTGTTCTTTAATGCTGTGTTAGATTGTTTTGATAATGAAGGCAGATGTTTGATGGTGCTAGCTGAAGTTCTGTCCTGGAAACGATGTCCTTTTGGAGGGTACATGGAGTCAAGCTTTTCTTTAAGTCCTTCTCCTTAACATACAATACAAAAACTAAGGATTTCTTAATCAAATACAAATATAGCTCATGGGTAATCTAGAAATTCAGAAAATGTCCATGCCGCAGAACACAGCTCAGCTACAAAAGGAGTAACTATGGGTATGCACCACCTGGAAGACTCTTAGGGGCATCATGCTGGGTGGATAAAGCCAGTCTCAAAAGGTCACGCACTGTATGATCTTGAAAGGACAAAATTGTAGAGATGCAGAACACAGAAGCAGTTGCCAGGGGCTGAGGGGAAGGCGGGCGTGCTGGTGGCTATAGGGGGGCAACATGAAGGAGTCTTTTGTGGTGACAGAACAGAGGCACATCTTGAGTGATGGTGATGGTTACATGAAATGTCATAGAGCTGTATGCAAAAACCTGTGGAAAAAAATGAGTGCATGAGAAAACTGGTGAAATTTAAGCGCAGTCAGGGTCTTAATTGTCTATTGTGTCAGCCAGTTTCCAAGTTTTGATAAAGCAATACAATTACTGGAGCAGCTGGGTGATGAATACAAAGGATCTCTCTGTGCTACCTGTCCAAGTTCTTGAGAGTTCATAACTATTTCAAAATAAAAAGTTAAGAAAGCATAAAAGCATGATTATCGTGGTGTAGAGAAAAAAGCACAAGCTCTTAAGCTGGACAAAATTGGTTCAAATATGTGTTTTAACATTTATTAGCTGCGTGACTTTGGCGAGTTACCGTATGTCTCAGCCACATTTACCTGTAAAGTAGGAATGATTAGAGATAATGGACTTAAAATACCTGGCAGGGGCCTGTCACGTGGTAGCTAGGAAACAACGTAAGTTATTATTAACATAGTAAAGAATATCTTAGTATTTGGAAGCCATAACTATGCTGCTCTGCAATACGGTGAACGAGGATAAGTTCTAGTGAGCAGCTATAGGTCTTTCAGTTTGTACCTAAAAGGAGGCATTTGCATAGCTGTTCCTACAGGGCAGGGCACCTCTCTACATGACTGACATTCAAATGCCTGGAGGAAAAAGACACTACTCAGTAACTGTGTCCACATATAGCTGCACACTACAATGTATTTACTTCTCGTACAGCCTAGTTATTAAACATGCTATCAAGTAGTCTGTTATTGTGCTTAATTATTTGAGATTTATGAGTATGTTCAACTATAATCTTAAATGTCAAACTTATGCCTAAAAATACTCTAACAGCAACATGGAAGCAAGAAAGTAAAAAATCAAACCCAAATCAAAAAGCAGAGGAATTAAGTAAGATGTGACCTTGCTGTTCTTCGTCCCTGCAGAGAGGAAAGTCTGTAGCTTTGCTTACCCTGACCCAGTACAAAGCAGAAAAGGGGACACTGCAAACCATCCAGCTCCTGCCCAAGGTAACCACAGGCTAATGAGGCTACTTGCCATGCTCTCCCTGAATGACAGGCTCAAAATCAGATAACCCAGCAGGCCAAACTGGAAGACCCAGGAGTAGGAAAATGAACTTAACCCTCTAGAAACCTGAGTCATCACTATCTAAATACCATTAAATATTTAAGAATTCTCTAAGGTCCATTCTAACTCAAAATTCTGTTGCTCCTGTACCCCTAGGTATCTGAAATAGTTGGAAAGTAAACAGAACAATCTAAAAAGATGCATTCATTCACTATCTCTCTCAAGTGCATACTGAATAACGAACTGTACTGGGCGCTAGCGACCATGGAGATAAGATATGCACGCTGCCCTTCTGGAGCTCAGGGCCAGTTTGGGAGATAAGACACCATGTACCCAAATAGCCACAATGCTAGGTTTAGATTGCAAGAGCCAAGAGGCATAAAAAAACCATTTGGACAAAGTGGAACAGGAAGTCAGAGGACGGCAAGATGATTTCCTATTGATTGGGTCACATGAAGGTTCTGTGGCGATGGTGACGTTAAAGATGGTCTTTAAAGGATGGGATAATGGCATTTGGAGGTTGGCCTTCTAAAAACCCATAACGATGACATCAACCACACATGTGGGAAGCATGGGCATTTTATAAAAAACAACGAGTGTTACAGGTTTCAATAGGGTTGGCAGGGGAACTCCCTGGTGAGTACCCCAGGGCTTGGATCAGGGTGACTGGGAGCTATGAAATGAGCTGTGGGAAGAGAATACAAGGACAGGTGGAACTTCCTGAAGATCCATCCAGCAGCCCTGGGTGCTCTGCACCAGCGAGGAGAGGCCTGCACCCATTCCTTGGCCTCCTGGAAGCTAATGCTTCTGTGCGAGTGAGAGGCCAGGAGCGGCTGAAAGTGGGGAGTGGCGACTGGGGCAGAGAACAAAAGGAGGAGACGGGCCATGGGGAAGACGAAAAGATGACTCAGATTTAGGCCCAAGTGTCTGGGATGATGGTGGGCCCACCAAGAAACACAAAAGAACATGGGAGTGGGCTTGGGGGAAGGACTGACCCTGTCAATCCTGGACTCACTGGGTCTGAGGTTATGACCAATTGATCAAGTACAGACATCCAGGTGGCGGCTGGAAATACAGAACAGGAAGAGATCCCAAAGCCTCCTCAAACTGAAACTGTCCAGAACTAAACATCTGATGTTCCTCTCTCCATACTACATCTTCCTACCTCGGTGGCTAACACTCCATTCGCCCAGTTACCAAGGCTGGAAACCTAGGAGTCACCTTTGACATCCCCTTCTCTGCTACCCTTAATCCAATCTCCGGTTACCTCTTAAATCAATCTTGAATCTGCCATCCTCTCTCCAACCCTACCAGCAGCTTCGCTGGACCACTGAGCAGCGATCTTTGTGCATCTGCTGCTGCTCCTCTTAAAATTCACCCTCCCCACCGGAGCCTGGGTGGTCATTTTGCAAAAGTAAATCTGAAGCTATCAAACCTCTGCTTAAACCACTTCTGAAGCTTTTTCTTGCTCAACTCTAAAAACCTCAATCCTTAACAAGTTCTACAAGGCCAAGGTCACTTGGCCACCACCCACCTCTCCTGCTTATCCCTCACCGTTCTTCCCACCCACACTGTCATCTTTTCACAGGCCCTTTGGGCTCAGTGCCTCTGATATGCTTATTCTCTCAGCTGATTCTCTCCAACCCAGCCCCCACCAAGCATCTTGGTAACTCCTATCCATTCTTCAGACCAGAGGTCAAGCGTCGTTTCCTCAGGACAATTTCCCAGGCTCCTTAAACCACTACACTTCTAGTCTGCTCCCATGTGATAATTACCACACCTTGCGGTGATGCACTGGTGTGGTTATCGGACTAATGGCTATCAGTCCCATCAGAATGAAAGCTCATGACAGAGAGACTGTATGTGCTGTGGGTACCACTATGTCCTAGCACCTGGCACAGTGCCTGGCACACAGCAGGCTCTCAGACAGGTAAGGAATAAAGAATGAAAGATCAGGACTGCAGCTATAGAACTGGAAAGCAGCTGACAACTAAGAAAAGAGCAAGGCAGAACTCTGGGAAAAACACACATTTCAGAGGTAGAAGTGGCAGAAGAGCCAAGAATGCATGGAGAGAATGACAAAGGGCAGAAGGAATAATCAATGATACCAACTGCTGCAGAGAAGT